CGCTGTCTGACCCTGAAACCTAGCGGTTACCCTATCAGTAACACACTCAATAATGTCGGGTAACTCCTCACGTATGGCTCGCGAAACCTCCTCAGCGATCCAATCATGTAGCGGGTTCTCCTCGAGACAAGGTGCGTAGCCCATTTCCGATCCCTGATGACAAGAGCTAATAACAGGATTCTACCTACCGAGGGATCCCAGAGATCCATAAACATTGGGCTCCAGAGGAGCCCCTAACTTCCCCGCAGCAATCTCGGCCCGGAAGGCCTCGAGGCGGCTATCCAAAAGCTCTAAAATCCCTTCCTTAACTGTACCAAAGATCACAGAAGTCTGATCCAATATACTGCGCGTAATCTCTCCTGATATAAACTCTCTCATCTGCTCCCCGAGCTGCTCGGCTCCTGAACCTGAGCCTGATCCCTCCTCGGCACCCGAAGTGCCCACTGGTCTACCTCGTAGTGTCACCATACTGCATCAGTCATAACATAACTATCATCAAAATACTCATCGCTGCTGAGGAATCACACACGCACTACAAGTTCCTCGGTTTTATCTCATCCCTCCTTGACTAGAGTACGGATCCTCTGCTTTCAGTAGTACGGGCCCATAATACCTTCCACATCTATCCGTACTTTCCTCAAGGATTGCTTCGACTTCACCAAGTCCCTTTCACTTCTACTATTGCTCCCAACACTAATCTCATCCTAGGCTTACCCCGAGGGAAATCTTTAATCCCAAACCCAGTCCTCAGCTGCTGAAAGACTCTTCATAATGCCAATTAACCACTACATGAATACCATCACATGTGACGAGGCTCAGATAATCCTTCGAGTAAAGGACTCATCCCTACAACGGTTAGACTCAGATGAGAGCTGCACAATAGGTCAAATCTGGCACTCTGAGATTATTCAACCCTGATCACATGTGACTTAACGTATTCATCTAATAGCTAACTCCCATCACTCGAAGTCTCACAAAGCACAAAGCAAGCAGCATTCAGACAAGCGGAAAATCTAACCAAACAAGCAATTCCATATTCTTATCAGGAATCTATACTAGCATATAATTCAAGGCTCATATAATCAGGCATAACCTAAACATGCTATCCTACCACTGGCTGATCAGTTCTAGCATGCAAATCTACAAGCTCATATAAACATACAAAAGCATCTTTCCTAGATCCTTATCTCTAATCTAGCATGTGAATCACATAATCATATCACATAATAAACATGTATTGGTATTTTGGGAACCACTTACTTGAGCTCGGTCGATTGCACGCATCACACCCCTTTCTTTTCAGAGTTCTTTTCTCTTTTCAAATTCCCTTCAAAATTCTTTTTATAAATATATATAAAAATGATTTTCTTTTAAAAAATTTCATACCAAGTCCTCAGTTTGAGTCCAGACACACCCGAGAGTGTGCCCGGATCCCTCAAACCAAGGCTCTGATACCAACTTGAAACATCCCAAAAACACGGTCCAAAAATTCTGTTTTAAATCACTAATAAAACCATAATTATCTTTCAACATATAAAATCATAAATCGTATATCTCAAAAACATAATAACATCTGTCAAATATATCAGAGTATAAACAACCCAGGCTGAACAAATGGTGTGTGCACTGCAATCTTCCCGAGCTCCTCTTTTGAAAACTTAAGCACCTGAAACCAAAACTGAAAACCGTAAGCACGAAGCTTAGTGATCTCCCCCAACTACCACATACCATACATATAACATATAACAATTACATAGCTCTGGGACTACTCCCAACTGCATCGGGACGAATCCCGACATCGGCTAACCCGACATCGGACTCCTACCCGGTATCGGGCTCACCCCGGCATCCGACCGCATCGGGCATCGGGCTCACCCCGATATCGGGCTTGCCCCGACATCGGGCTTACCCTGGCACATACACAACATAACATATATCATCAACACATAACATAATCACATGATCTGCATCGGGCTTGCCCCAGCATCAGACCGAAGCCCGGAACATATAATCATAACATATAAACTAGCATACATCGAGCTTGCCCCGGAACATATAATGCATGGCATAATAACTAACATACATCGGGCTTACCCCGGAACACTTAACACATAACATATAACATATTCACATTTACTGCATCGGGCTTGCCCGACATCGAACCGAAGTCCGGAACACATAACACATAACACATATACATGCATGAATCACAAAGACATCAAGCATACTTAATTACTTCTCGGGACCGCCCCGGCATCGGACCGAAGTCCGGAAACATATAAACTGCATTGGGCTGACCCCGGCATCGGGCTCGCCCCGACATACTCTACAACTTAAACGGGCCGACATTGTGGCCGTAGACCCGTTACTACTGGAAGGAAACTCACCTCGCACTGCTGAAGACTAACTGAACACTTCTGACTGCTAACCGGCAACTCCTGAACTGCTGACCCTTCGGCTTCCCGAACTATCAATACCCAAAATAACATTTAGACCACAATATTCCAAAAGTCAACCCAGGTCAAAGTCAACGCTCCGAGTTGACTTCAACTCGCCGAGTTGGCCTACCAACTCGTCGAGTCCCACATTCCACACTAAATTCTGGACTTCGGTCCCACTCGTCGAGTTCTCCGTGAACTCGTCGAGTTCTCTGTGAACTCGTCGAGTACACCTTCAACACATCGGGACCCTCCTTTATCCGACTCGCCGAGTTCTCCTTTGAACTCGTCGAGTCCACCTTCATAAATTAGGGAGATTGTCTTGGACTTGCCGAGTTCCTACTTGAACTCGTCGAGTACGATGATCTTCATGCCCATAATGGACCCAGACTGGCTGAGTCCCTTACCAACTCAACTCATACCCTTAACAGAAGGGTTTTGGGCACTAAAACGGTCTGACTCGCCGAGTCCCACTAGTGACTCGCCGAGTCCCTCTATGTCCCAATCTATTCAGACGATTTCTGAGGGTCTCAAAGCATCCAAGACTCAGATCTAACCTTCTAGGGTCGAAATAATACGTAAAGCCTCTGCCTTTACATCCATGTATGACCCTTTTTGCTCAAAAGGCCATAACAACCTCTTAAACCTTGCATGGGGAGTTCTAATGACATAAAGCTTGCACCTTTATGCCTTAACCACTCTTAGGGACCCCAGATCTGAAAGGATCTTTGCTTGGGACATCCTTGTCCCATAGATCAAGCTCCATGGACCAAAACTCTCATAAAGTGGACATAAATAGATCTAAGAAGCTATAAGTCAAGATGAAGACTTGATTACCAGAAAATGATGGAAATGAGATGGTGTTGCTGGATCTACAAGTTCCTCCCTGAACCTTCAATCTCCTTCTTCTTCTTCTAGCCTCCAAGAACACCAAAATACTCAAGAATGGCTCACACAATCACCAAATGATCTAGGTTTTCGTGGGTTAAGTTCTGGACAATGGGGGATGGGAATGGAACCAAGAGGAGGAGAATAAGATGCTTAAATAGGGCACCAAGTCCCGAAATTAGGGTTTCCCAACCCAGGCCAGACTCGCCGAGTCAGTCCCCCGACTCGCCGAGTCGGCCACTTAATCCGCGACACGGAACTCGCTCCTACTCATCGAGTTCCTCCATGGACTCGATGAGTAGGCCTCTTGACTTGGGGTTTTTCTTTCCTTTCTTGACCTTCTAAATTCGGAGTGTTACAATGAATCTACAACAAGGTACTAGGACGACCCAAAAGTACATTTAAGAGATTTAAATCTAGGAGATCATCACATATTTTCCAATTTAGACTTCCAAAACTTGAAAGTTGACTTTGACTTGGTTTCCATTTATACCTTGGAATTAGGATGAATATACACAATTCAAAAGAATAATTCGACCTTATTAACACAATGCAATCAACATGTAATGAATTCAATGACGATATAATCAAATTTTAACCCCAAAACTCTATTAAACATCATAAACCCACAATTGACCTAATTAGAGGTTTCAACACTATCATCTGTACTTTGCATCATTAAACTTATATTCAAATGGACCAAACCATAACATTGACTTCGTTATATGCTTAAAAACCAAATTATATTAGATTGATAATTTCATGAAGATAGAGTTTCAAAACCACCAATAAAGCTTAATGAACTCATTTTTAATCATGAAGATGAACTTTTATTACTAGTTTATTGATAAAATTCAACAGTAAACTCAATTTAATCGAACATTATACCATAAAATTCGATTTTATGAGATTCACTTATGTATTCGAAGCTTAAATGACACATGGATGATTCAATCAACTATCTTACAAGCTCCAGTTGAATAATATACAAAAGAACAACACTAGAAATTTAACTCTCTCTCTCTCTCTCTCTGTGTGTGTGGGGAACTAAATGCGAAAATTTAGGGCTTTAGATCTAATATTTTACTTCTTGCCAACAATGGCCCCTCAACTTTCAATATCTAATTTAACTCTAATACGACTTGCTAATTAACATTCTTAGTCTTCAAATTTATGATTCAACAAAAAGATGTTAACATCTTCCAAATTAAGTCCAAAGCCTAATTAAATAAGTTAAGTAAAAAATCATACCTTATTTTCCATTTTTGGAAAGTCAACTCCGAACCTCCAAGCTTTGACTTCAAATTTCACCAAACAAATTAATGTTTTCTTATGCCAATTATAATCATTTATTTTAAATTAAATTTTAATTTACCTATAAACAGGTATTACAACCGTGCACAATTATTTTTATACCAAAGTTCATAAATATTTGTACACACACTCTTCTAACTAATATGAGTTTAATAAAATTTTTCGATATTAATCCGATCTTACAATTACGATTCTATGAATCAATAAAAAATCAAAAACAAAACCATATAACATCTTAGTCCTCACAACCCAAAGATATTTTAACTAGAAAACCTAAATTTGTATTTGGTTAGTAATCCAATCAATTAATCAAACCGTTCCAACACAAAGCCGTTCTATTTTACAATTCAATTTGTTTTGCGGATATAAGAAGCTTGATCTTTGCGTTGACTTGCGATCTTACATAACTTCAACACCAAACGTCCTCCCAAGTCTCTCTGTAGACTGGATTCCATCTCCTACTCCTACTCCTACGTTAATACATAAATTATATTTATAGTAACACAGATCTGGAATCTAAAACCCTAGCTTTTCTCAATTCCCATTTAACATCGGGTTAATGTCGTCTAAAACATTGCCCTATTCTATCAAAGACATACAATACGATAACGCCAAGTTTCGTCGACGATCCTTGTTCCAGGTATGTTTGTTTGTAAGTTGGATCTATGACTTTGTCTACTGCTATTTCTCAGGGGGTTTGTTTGGACCCAAATGAATTTTAATTTTAGATTTTGATCGAAATTGAATGTGTTATTGGCATTTTGTCATTGTTTTGATTGCGTTCGTATCTTTGCTGGAATTTAGCTGAATAACTATTTGAGCTGTTGATATATTGTTCTAAATGCTCGGTGGGGAAATTGATGTTTAAACTATAAGTTCCGTGAATTGACGCACGCCAGTGATCATGGATTTATGAGTAGAATCCAGGATCTGTATGCTGTTTCGTGAATGATTAATCCAAATTGAATCACGGATTTGCGTTAATTTTACTGGAACAGTTAAGTATTATGTGTAGATATATGCCATGAATTCACCCTTGTGATTGTGGATTCGTGAGTAAATCCAGGATCTCTGTACTATTTTCATGAATGATTAATATGAACGAAATAGCAGAATTATATAATACACTTGATTAGCAGACACAAGGGCGGTTCATCAATGCAATGAAAAATCAGGGTTTCAATTTGGAAGTGAATTTTGGGTCATTTACATCATAAATCAAATCAAATAGCATGATTTGAATCACCAAGCACCTTATGATTCTCACAACTCATGGATTCACTTTCCCTTTTCAACCTCCTATTGAGTTATACTTAGTAACTAACTGTCTTGAGAGGAAGGGCTTAAAGACAAAAGAGGATGACTGTATTATTATTATTATTATTATATTTATGTTCACTATTCAGTCACTTCCACTTCATGTTTAATGGTTATCCCTTATTTGTGCAGGTCATTTCACAGACATTTCTGACCAATAAAATGAAGCGTGAATGTATGTCATGTAGCACAGGAAAGTTTCTAGCTGTATTAATGATCTTTGGTTTGACATATCTTGTGATCACTCATGCAAGTCCTATCCATTCTGTAACTAGTGGTGTAGCTAGAGCTATTGGGTCTAAACAAGGTGATAATTCCATCATGGATGGTGGTGGCATTGGAGTCAAAAGATTTTGGAGAAAACCACCCAGGCTTCCACCTCATTTGTCTCCAGATGAAATGAATATCAGCAATAAATCCACACACAACCCTGCAAAATCAAATCTTGATTCTGAATGGGTGGCTAAGCAAGAAAGTGTTAAAAAGGCATTTATTCATGCATGGTCTGGATACAAAAAGTATGCAATGGGTTATGATGAACTTATGCCATTAAGTCAAAAGGGTATCGATGGGTTAGGAGGATTAGGTGCTACTGTTGTGGATGCTCTAGATACAGCCATGATCATGAGACTTGATGATGTTGCTTCTGAAGCAGGTTCTTGGATTGAAAAGAATCTTCCAGAAAGAATATGTAATAAAGGTCAAGTGAATCTGTTTGAAACAACCATACGTGTTGTTGGTGGACTTTTGAGTGCTTATCATTTAAGTGAAATGAATCCAAATTCAACAAAGAATGGACCTAAACCTTCTGTATACCTAGAAAATGCTAAGAATTTGGCAGATGTTCTTTTAACTGCCTTCACTTCAAGTCCAACTGCTATTCCCTTCAGTGATGTTGTTTTGCAAGATCACAAAGCACATCCTGCTCCTGATGGATTAAGTAGCACTTCAGAAGTTTCCACTTTACAGCTTGAGTTTAATTATTTAAGTTTTCTTACTGGTGATCCAAAGTATAGTGTTGAATCAATGAAAGTGTTGGAACATATGAAAACTCTCCCGAAAGTTGAAGGACTTGTTCCAATCTACATTAGGTATGAATGTTAACTAGTCCTTTTCTACTGTGGTTATTCTTATTATTTAATTTTATATTGCAGCCCTTCTTCTGGTGAATTTTCTGGAAATAATATTAGACTAGGTTCACGAGGAGACAGTTATTATGAATACCTTATCAAAGTTTGGCTTCAACAGAGACAAAATAATTGGAGTTATTTGCATGAGATGTATGAGGAAGCAATGAAAGGTGTCAAACATCTTCTTGTTAAAAAATCAAAGCCAAATGGGCTTGTTTTTGTGGGAGAGTTGCCTGGTGGTGTTGATGGTGGCTTTAGTCCCAAAATGGATCATCTTGTAAGTTTTATATATATTATCTTATGGTGTTCATTTATCATAGGAATTGTTTCAAATAAAGTTTGTTGTTCGTTTTTAATGTGCTACAAAAATTGAGGTAAACAAGTTTATCTTGGAAATTTATTTGACTAAATATATAAAAAATAATAATCTCAAAATCTTCAGGTCTGCTTCTTGCCTGGGACTCTTGCACTTGGAGCCACTAAAGGCATTACAAAAGCTAAGGCAATGGAAGAAAATCTGCTCACTTTTGAAGACCTAGAAAATTTAAAACTTGCAGAAGATCTTGCTAAAACTTGCTTTGAGATGTATTCTGTCACTTCTACGGGTTTGGCTCCAGAGATTGCTTATTTCAATTCAGAGGTTTGTTTTTTCTTTAATATTTATTATGTTTTCTTTTCATAAAAAAGTGTTTTTTTAATGTTTCCCATGTCCATTATCCATATCCTGTCTATATAAGATCATTCAGATGCTGTTTCTTTTCGACTCAATAGGCTTAAAGACTTAATCTGGACAGATCTCTAGTGGTGACTTATTTTTATTCAGATGTTAATTGTTTTCTTTATAAATATTAGTGTTTTTGATAAATCAGGGTTATTCTGAGGATAATCTTGATGGAGGAAACAAGAGTTCAGAGTATGTTCATGACATTGTGATCAAACATGCTGATCGCCATAACCTTTTGCGCCCTGAAACCGTTGAATCATTGTTTGTTCTATATCGTATCACAGAAGATTCAAAGTATGTTCTATTATTATTACTTTTTTTTTTTTTTAATCTTGATTATGTATATTCTTTTTTCTAATATATATTAATTTATTATTATTAGATATCGTGAATGGGGTTGGTCAATTTTTGAGGCGTTTGAGAAGTACACAAAGGTTGAATCTGGTGGCTATACCTCTCTTGATGATGTCACCATGCTTCCTCCTAGAAGAAGAGACAAAATGGAGACTTTTTTCTTGGGTGAAACCCTAAAATATTTATATTTATTATTTGGAGAAAGTAACGTTATCCCATTGACTCAATTTGTCTTCAACACAGAAGCTCACCCTATCCCCATCATAACCACAACAGCCAAAAAGGAATAATCCATTCCTCTTTCAACAACCCGTATTATATCATTTGAGTTGAACTACCAAAACCAACAGGGTTGAAATGGATACACATCAAGAATTACTCAAAAGGGAAGGAAATAGGATATGATCATGTTGATAATTGTTATTCAGTGAGCGAAAAAAAAAAAAAAAAATAGACAGAATATCTCTTGTTGTAACTGCTTTTTTGCTTTTGAAGGCAATGATGATGAGTTAAGATTATCCAAGTTTTTAGATTTTGATTGAAGTTGAAATTCATTTAATTTCCATTATATTATGCTTCTAAGTCGCATTATAATCATCCCTACATTCACAATCATTTGAAAGGAGAAACAAGTGATCCCCATCTCTTATGACACTCAAATCATCTACTTCTGCATTCTCTGAGTTCACAACTTTCACAAAATTACACCCTCCAAACTTTTGACCTGCAAAGTCAAAGTACACATCATCATTTTATTTATTAAACTTTATAGTTTCATGATTTGATTATTAATTCAGTTAGAGAGAGAGAGAGATAGAGAACATACCTGCAAAGATCAATAATTCTTCTAAAGAATCTGGTAAGATTATGAGCTTTGGAAGCTGATTTTCTGATGTTTTTTTCATCTTAAACTTTGCATGAATAGTCACCCTTCTCATTGACTTTTTGACTTTTTGACTGGTGGAAGTGGAACTGCTTGCTGTAGGCTCTGAAGAGGAGGTGGAACAACTCGGGTCCCGGTTTATTGTATGTAAGTATGTTGTAGTATTTATTGTTTCGGGCTCCACAAATTCTATTTTGTGTTCGTTTCTTCTATTTTCATGGCTTATTAAGAGGTTATATATGCTTTTGTTTCCTTGCTGTTGAGCTAAAGTTTTTGGTGTGCACCCTCGTAAATCCGGCTTGTTCACATTTGCCCCTCCTTCTAGAAGAAGTCTCACCATTTCTAAATGCCCTTTCTTCACAGCAACATGAAGAGCTGTTTGACCTTCTTCTGCTGGTAAATTGACTTTCACATTCATTTCGTTCTTATTTTGTCTAAAATTGTTCATCTGTTGTTGGTTTTTTATATCATCTGAGTCTATATAGTCTATATCACTTGTGTAATTATGTAAATCAGTGGAAGAATTCTCCACTTTTGACCACTCACTAGAAACCAAAGCTTGATTTGCATGTCCAAAGCTTTCCAGGCCTTTTAGTTTCTGTTAATAAACAAACAAACAGACAGTTATACATATTGTTTTTAGATCATATTTGATAAAGACGCTTTTCCTAGGGTTAAAATGGTAAATTACTTACCATGTAAAAATTGTTCATGATGATGAATCCATCTTGTGTATTTGTGTGAATAATCCTGAGTAATGCAGAACCCTCCATCCGTAGTATCTGAGAAATCTCAGTTGTTTGGAATGTGAATGGCTGAGGCGTATTGTATAAAACTCCCGTTTCACCAAACATTTCTCCTGACACAGCCTTTCCTACCACCTACAAGGGCATTTAAGTCTTTTTCAATGATGTGGATAAGGACATTCATGTCTTTTGAGGTTGATGGGACAAAAAATTGCACTATGTGTCCCATCAACATCAGTACAATAGGAATACTATACCTGATCTTGGCCTTCATTATGTGCAATTATATCCTGCCACAGGAAAATAAATTACCAAACCATTTAATTTCATTTTTTTTTAGTTTCTAAAAAAAATGAGACGATTATTAATTTATTAATTAAGTTCACTTACCACTGCTCCGGTAACCAGTATGTACAAATTCGTTGGAGTCTCGTTTTGTAGAATCACAACTTCCTTTGATGGAAAGTACTCTGCCTCCATTTCAGAAACCTTTTCACAACATTGTAAAATTACATTATTAACCCTGAGAAATTTGTATTAATCTTATCAAGGCACGACAAAACATGATGGTCTTGTACTATATTTGAACTTTGAACTCAAATCGATGTCAATCGAACTAAAATGGGCATCATTTTGAGTCTTTAATTTGTGCAAAAGACATAAATGCCCTCATTGTTGTTGAAAATTACGTTGTCCAATCGTGTCCAGTGTTGTCATTTTACACTAAGAAAAAGATTACCAGCTGGAAAAGGCACTCATGGGAAACACCACGAAACAAATGAACGTTTTGCACAATTGGGTAAAAAAGATGGCGTGAAATGCTTGCACGGATTGCTTTTGGCAAACAGTTTAAAGTGTCTTGCTGTTTTAATCCCTCCGTTTTATAATCCAAACATATATGAGATAATATTTGATCTTTTATCTGTGGAGGAAGATGATTCCGTTTTGCAAATTCTGAAGCAGCACTCACCTTATCCCTCTACACCACAAGTAAACTTAGGATTAAAAAAAATAACATCCAAATACAAAAACAACTTTCACTGTTATAATTGGATATATTTTCAAAGTATAATATTTTAATAAAAAAAGAAAAAAGAACGTACAAAATCTCTGGTGTGGCCAGTCCAATGAACGACAAGATTGGTCATGTTCCCAATGATGTAAGCTGTCAATCCCAAGTTGAACAACATGTAGAAAATATCGAACAACATCTCTCTTGCATTCTCAGCATGGAAGTCTCCATAACCAGTTGTGGTCAAAGTTACAATTGACCAATACAGTGACGTCACATACCTGTTCCAAATACTATCTGTTTTGAAATCCGGATAAACCGCACCGATCCAAGTTTTACGTGGGTCCGGATATCTATCCGCTATCAAATAATTAAAGCATCCCGCACAGTGAACTGCGAAGAGAGTCACCTAATTTTCAAGTCGAGATAATTAAGCAAACGATAATTTTCAGAATGGACTAATTCGCCCTTCTTCTTATAATTAAAAATGTCACGTTTCATACCGAGATTAGCTTTGTGCAACGGATCCAAAAATAGTTGAAGCGGATATCCTTCTCAAGCCTGAATTGAAGCATAAAGGTTTTTGTCACTTGGTGTGTTTTTGGGTATACCTAAATTTGGAAGATTTTTATGCTTTAAAAGTAGGCAAGTTTTTTAGAAAAAAACACTTAATACTTTCTCACCCTTTGATTGATTTATAGCTTATTGAAAACAACAAAAAAAAAAAACACACATTACCTTGCGAAAAGGGAGCTAACTCTTCTAAGACGCCATAATCTAAGCATGCTGAGTACTTGGAACCCAATTTCACTTTTACGATCTGTGCAAAGGAGGCTAAGAGATCGAAATGGCACAGTTGAGCTAACATCGAAAATAAACCATGTTGATAGGTACCTGTATATCAAATTCACAATGCAACATTTTCTCATTGGTAATTTTTCATTATAATTATACTTTATTTATTTGTTTCGTATAACATTCTACTTTCATTTATTTGGATTACTGCATTATTGTGTTTAGAAAAATCTACCCAATCTTAGCAATATATAATTGGGTAGATTTTTCGAACTACACTATTGTAATGAGAGAGAAAGAAAGTAGGATGTTATAACTAACTAACAAAATAAGTTGTTAAAATCATGGCATGTTGTTGACCTTAATGCTATTTTCTTGTGATCATCAACAATAACATAAGACTGAGAATCGAGGTACGCCACGAAGAAGGTTAAAACAATATCAATGGCAAAGAAGCCATTGACAATGTTGTCAAAGATCCGTAGGGCGCCTTCTTTATCATCAAGAAATCCAAAGTCAAATGGCGAAATCCAAGCCGAGTAAACGACCAAAATAATCAGAAACATCTCCCAGGCCCTGAAGAAGTAACAAGAATTAATTAAGAAGAAAAATATGGTTAGAAGGTGGTGGAAAGTGGTGGTTTGACCAAAGTCAACATGGCGGCATCATCACCTGTAACGTCTATCGAAAGGGCAAACTGTGTATTTCCGTAGTGAAACTGAGCGGTTAAAATTGGCTCCGAGAGACGGGAGGATATCGCTGGAGTATAAACCGGTGGTTTTTCCGGTTGGGAATTCGTTGAACTTGAAGCATCGTAGGAAGGTGGTGTTGCCGGAAAATGACATTCTGGTGTCAGAGAAGGGAGGAGGAGGAGGAGGGTGGTGGTGGTGGTAGCATGGCGGTGAATGGTAAAAAGTATGGGTGAAGGAAGGAGTTTATATATAGTACAAGTATCAAGTATGGATTGGTGGGTGGTGAAATCTCACAAGGTTTTCGTGGGGTTTTTTTTTTTTTTTTTTTTTTTTTTTGGCTTTTGGTTTAATTCAAGTGGTGGACATTAGGCTGTGAGATATGATGCATTTGAGGTGATGGTCCTAGGAATGGAATTGGGAGTGGAGGGGAATGGAATTAGGATATAAGAAATTTAATGGGGTGGTGATTTCATGTCATATTCTATAAATGGACCAGACAAGAGGCTTAAGTGTTGCGATTTAAAACAAGGGAATGGGCCAATGGAATCTCTCTATCTTTCCTTGAAGAAGTGACATTCTCGGCTTCAAACCAAAGATGCCTCTCTAATCTCTCCTTCTTCACTCTTTTAAAGGTTAATTTAACTTTGAGTCAAATCCACAATCCTAGAATATGCGACTCTTATACTGTATCCTCCACTCCAATCACTACATGCCTTCTCGTTCTCGACTCGACTGGACTGGACTGGACTGGACTGGACTGAATACTGATATGACTTTTGCATAGATAGAAGATCGAAAGCAATCCCATGTCCCACCTTGATCCACATATTTAGATGAGTTTTTGTCTTGTCGACATATGAATTGGTTCTAGTATACTCCATGTAAAACACAGTACACCATGTTTCTAGTGAAAAAGTGCAAAAGAATTGATCTTAAAGATGTATGTGTGGATCTAAATGACGAGCTAGGTGGGTTAGGACCCAGGCACGGGGGTCGGACCCTTGGTGCACTAATGATGCAGTCAATGTACAAATCCACCGATCTGTGCAACTGCACGTGCTTAGATACACAAAATCCTATTTCTTTAATTTTTATATTATTAAAATTATTTCCAATATTATTAAAAGGGTTTCTATGTCCTATATGAGAAAAAAGTATTTTATTAGGGTTTTTCAACGAACTCTATGCATAGATTGTTCGTTTAAGTGGTATGTCTTTTGGCAGCCTATGCCATTATGATTGATTGTCACACACGACATGAGAAAACACGTTCTGTGTTTATGTATTGGACTCACTTATGTTCTTTTATCTGTATAAAAGATATAAATATTATTTTCATTATGATGTAAACAGTTTTAAAACCTGTCTAGGCCAATCAAATACATAATCAATTATCGACAATGAAAAAAGTTTCATTAACTACTCGACGTATCGATTTCTGGATCTCTTTCAAAAACGAAATAACATGATAATTCAATCATGGATCAAACCAGATGTCCCAAGGTGTCGAGGATTGTTTCTAATCATGCAATGAGACAAGTTCTCTCTTATTACACGTCATTAAAATAAAAAAAGTCTATTTATTTATTATTTTTGTTTTACTTAAACTGATTCTAACGTAAGAAATAAATCAATTAAATGATTAATTATGTGATGCAAACAACCAACAAACCCACATCTACATGTGAACTGAATATTATATAATTATATATATTGATTTGTATTTTTGACAACCATATCCACGTGAACAAATTCATTTATTATTTCAAGAAAAAGTTAAGTATATTTTCACTTTGGAGAAGTGGACACCAAGCTACGACGTTGTTGGACCCTCCCATCATAGATGGATCGAATTTGTATGGGCATCAGTGATGTTCTATGGTGTTTTCTTTCTACCTTTTGCTTTTCTTTTTTCTTGAATCCTAATATTTATAAAATAACTAGATATATATAATCATCATTCAATCATTGTTATATTATATTATATATACATATTATATAATCTTTTATAAAAGCTATAAAAAAAATCTGCCCATGTGCAAAAACGTATCCTAGGTACAGGTTTAGTGATTATTGAGATTTATGAAGTGTATGACATGTCGGCTTTTTTCACAAGCCAACAAAAACAATTATCCGATAATTTGTGAAATTAAGTAGGAGAACTATGCATCGTGGTAACTTGTGAAGGACAATCTAATAGTGTGAGATTCGAATCCATGAAGATCAGATTGTTTTAAATAAGAATTGACCATTTAAACAAAGACAACTAAATACGTACGAATCTATGCATCTGATTAATTTATAAATATATTGAGTTTGAAGATTGAAAGGAATACATTCTTGATGAATTAGAAATTAAGGTCTTTTGGAATATAAGGTGGCAAAAAGAACTTGGCTCAGCAAAATAAAAGGAAGAGATTATTTTGGAGTGTTGAACGCATCCAACTTGGGAATCAAACCGGAAAGGGGAATGTGATTTGCTTTTGGCTACACTATCTCCACTTATACTCTTTTCAATGTTGTGTTTATTAGCTTCAAATCCCGCCCCTGTAAAAAGATTGTATCTTATGTGGATGAATCAATTTCTTAAGTTAAAGAATCACCTCCCACAATAATCTAGTAAGCTCGTTTTAAAGAATCCAAGTAAGTAGTAATTGGTTGGTCAAAGGGAAACTAGAAAAAATATAGATGGTTGCATGCAAAAGGATGCTTTCTTAAATCTTTTTGTTTCACTTTGATTAAGGCTATGGCAAAAAGGATGTAAGGGTGCCCACTCGGTAACTTTTTGTTGGAAATATACCGAGGGATTGTGAGACCCTAACTTTCTAAACTTTCGTATTTCTGAAAACATTGTTACTCAAAAACATGCTACATGCATATTCATAAAACAATATTTTACATTGATAATTTATTTACATAAACAGGATACAAACCGACTATTAAGATTTTTACAAAGTTTTATATATTACATATTTTCCCAGGAATACATTACAAAAGTTATAATATTATCTATTTCTTCATCTTCTACCGGTATAAAACTATACTGGATGCTTATCACCTGCAATAGTTTAAACATTGAGAGGGATAAGCGGGTGACGCTTAGTGAGTTCAATAACAGTTACAATATAACATTATGCCATATACATATCAATATGACAGAAGCAAAGAGGGACAAGGAACAAGAAAGACAAGTGAGTATCATATGAAAGGCTTTCCATATCAACGAATAATCTGATTCAAAGATTTGTAATCAATGAGACATAACAATTTCAATACTTGATATACATCAATAAGACTTCAGCCCAAGTGACGCAGAAAATATAATTTCAGAATATCAATTTGCTAGAATACACAGGCTTTCGACCCTGTCTTTGTATTTTGCTATTGCCAAAGTGATGCTTATGTCATACACTTCATGGCCAAAGACTACATACCAGTACCCAAGTGATGTTTATGTCATACCCTTCGTGGTCAAAGGTATAACTCATTATCATAATAACATGGGAAAACACATTGAACATATAACACATAACATAAAATTGTCCCTATATTGAACTCACCGTGAAATAATCGGGGGGTTAAAATAGTAATTTGGGCAGCACTTCGTTACTATAATTGGCTTTCTTCGATGAAAACCGGGAGTTTTCTTGAAAACCGGGCTTTGCGAAGGTTGAGCTTCAAACCGAAAAGATAAATTTCTCGGGCTCCTCGGGCACTTCGGGGCGTGTTTCGGGTGTTGGAAATGATCTCGGGGCTTCGGGGGAAGTGGAAATAGCTAAAATATGAAATTAGGGGTGAAAAAATGGCAATTTTTTAAATCTAGCCGGGAGGTCTCGCACCCTTTATATAGGTGCGAGCCTCAGATCCGAAGCGAGAGGAAAGGGGACACGCGTCGCAGCAGCGAGACTCGGAGGCGAGGGAAGGTGATGTGAATTTTTAATGCACTAGTTTTTTATTTATAATTCCTAATTTATCGCATCTAAACCACACCTTACATGCAGTGAACCCGATCGAGTATAGTACAGCTTTGATAAGCAAGGGTGTCGAACTCAAGGGGAACGGTAGTGAATTAATTTAAAATGTTTGATTATAGGTTACACAAAACACACAAAAGCAGTAAAGAAAGGGTTTATTAAATCTCAAACGAACAACTAAATAGAAAATCTCGATAAACTGACAGGAAGACAAATCTCTTTAGGTACTTTGGTTTAGACATATTACATCTTAAAATCATAGATAATTGCACATACAAATTTATTTATTCATGTTCACCGATTTTCTAAAATGATTAGGTTCATGTTCACTATTACTAATCCTTTAGCAAACAAGTCAATTCAAGCAGTGATCAATTGATTAAACTAACATGTTTCCTAGTGTTCAGTTCGTATCAAGCAAGACTTGTAATAATAGTTAATTAAATTTATCAATTCAATCAACTTATATGTGATTGGTCATCACACATGCTTACACATTAACTTACTTATATTCTAGTTAACCCTAGTTTCATGTTCACTATTCCTAGGCATATAATCTTATGTTCACAAAACTATATGATTCAAGCAATTAAGAAGATGTTCATGCAACTCAATAACTTGATATTTAACAGAAATAATTATCATCAATACATAAGGATCTTTAACAAGCTTAACAAGATAAATTAAACACGAATAAAACAGTCAAATATAGCAATTAATCCAATAATCAATGTTTCATCTAATCATAAACTCAAAGCAAATGGTTTTGACACCAAAATCAGAAAGTAAAAACATAATAGTATCACAGTGGAATGCTAAACATGGTTACGATAACAAACCGCATGATTACCGACACGAATCCGCTCTCTAATCCTTCAGATCTTCGCTCTTGTCAGCTTAACGGCCTTCCGGCCGCCTTCTAGACCCTCAAAACGGCAATTATGAAGTTTTCTTGTCGCACAAGTCGAAGTGGAATATCATAGATTATGAAAAATGATGGAATGATATGGGGTATTTATAGTTGAATGGAGATGGAATTAATATGGAATATTAGAGTTGGATTAGAATAAGGAAACTAATGGTGGCTTAGGGATTAAGCAAGTAAAAATAAGGTAAGTGGTGCTTGGGGAATAAGTAACTTGGAGGGAATTTCCGTCCAGCTTTTATGCTTCATATTCAAGGCCGATTTTGAATAAGATAAATGCCGAATTAGCAAAAAGTCCCTCTGACATAAATCGTAGGAAATTTCGTCTAGCTTTCAGAAAATTTTGAATCACGTCAAT